TGCGTTTCTGCAAAATGCTGTGGAAAATGCTTAGGTGTGAACCTAGGGTAAGTGATAGACGAGGTGGATAAATGGGGTGGTGGTGTCATGATCTCCAGCTTATCCAATCAGCCAACACTTTGCATTGATTGAGAAAATGTAAAGCATTCTCTAAATAGTGCCCATGCCTAGCACGGAACCTAAAAGTTGGCAGTGGTCACTGTAGTAGCAGGGACTACTACAGTGATTTCCTACTTCCACAGGGATCTGCCAGGTCTGGCACATACTGTACATACCAATATAACTGCAATAAAACCATGGATACTCATCAGCTTTAAAGTAAACCTGTTGCATTGTCCTGCATTGACAAACTATGGAAGATGTGTGCCAAAAAAAAGGCAGACAGAGGGCAAAGAACCAGTTACCAGTATTACCACTCAATGCATCTGATCTTTTCTCTAATTAGTGACTTACCATGCCTTGTTCCAAAATATGTATCTGTGCGAAGGCAACTGTCTTGGTAGAAGAGCAGGGCTTTGCTTTCTCATGCCAATGCTGCCCATCTAATGACTGGTGATCTGATGACTGATGGAGCATAATCCAGAAACACTAGGAGTGGTGCAGAAATCACAGAGACATGAATGGATGAAGCAGAAGCAGGGAAATCATGGCATTACAGCCTCCTCTTCCAGCAAGGAGAACAGTGAGCAGCACAGTAATGACATCACCAAATCTGATTCTCAGGAGACTAGCAGTCAAAGGCACAACACCTTAGATTATTATTATTATTATTATTATTATACAGGATTTATATAGCGCCAACAGTTTGCTCAGTGCTTAACAATATAAAGGGAGACAATACAGCAACAATACAATTCAATACGAGAGGGATAGGAGGGCCCTGCTCCTTGGAGCTTACAATCTAAGAGGTGATTTTATACTTTATTTATAACTCTGTAGGCAGAGGACTTGCACTGCTATTTTAAAGTTCATGGCAAACAGTAGAGTTTTTGGGCTACTGTCTAGATATAGTTACACTTTCTTGGTATTGTTCCCTAAAAATAGAAAATCTTCAATTTTTGGTTTCAGGTCCACTTTAAGTTAAATCAAAAAATAATAAAATGGAAAAATGAGTACAGCAAAAAATTAAGCATTACTCTCAGTTCCTTAAGAAACAAAGAAATAATAAGATTAGAGTTATTAGTAACACCACCCCATTACTTCAAAAAACCTGAGCAGCACACAGGATGGTGATTCATAGTTATTGAAAATGTTCCAACTTTCTAACTGGCAAGGACAGACTGAGAAAAGATAGCAAAACTCAACCTCTCTATAATCAGTCTGCACTAGAATTTGGTTTGTCTCTCCAGGTCTATTCTCCTGTAGACTATGAAAACCTTCTGTATAACATATCATTGTCCACCTTATGAAGATGACACACTACTTGTTGTCCCCCACAAAACTGCATCCCAGCAGGACCCAGGGCTTTTTTTTTCCAGCGAGAATGCAGTTCCGGCACCTTCAGCACTGAAGATATTTAATAGCAAGGGGTGCTGGAGGGATCTATTGTTGCAGGGATAGATCTATTATTGCTGTCTGTTGTTGCTGGTGGGGGATTTATTGGTGCTGGTGGGGGATTTATTGGTGCTGGGGATCTACTGTTGAAGGAAGGGTGTAATGTTTCTGACTGACGGAAAGTCTATTGATGCTGGCTGCTGGGAGATCTATTGTTGATGGCTGCAAGGGATCTATTTTACTGTTTGTTTGTTTTTATCATTACCACATTCCTTACGAATTACTTAGCAATACTAAACAATACTTGGTTCTGTATACTCTAAAAGGGGCGATACTGGGATTTGGGTAGGGAGTAGAACCAAGGGATGGTGCTTGGAGGTGGGGGAGGGTGGAGTGACTACGTACATTGGTGTGTTGTGGTCCCATTCTTTCTAAATGGCACCCCACCACATCTTCCCAACGTACTTGTATTACAGTGCAGTCCAACATGCTTTGTGCTGTGCTTCTCTGCTCATCCGTTTGGTACGTTGTGATGTCTTGGGAAGCCCATTCAAATGTACAGGCTGCTCAAACCAAATGCATATGAACGTGCAACACAATCCATGTATGTTTAACACAGTGTACCAAACTAATGGGAATGGGTCCCTAAAGGTTTCCAGAATCCTGACGGGATGATGTTCTCAACTTTGTGGGTTTCTGAGGACTTTTCACAAGTCATAAAGCATTCAAGTCCTGCCAGAGTCTATGCACAGCTGAACATAGTAAATAGTTTTGTTTGGACATACAGTTGCAAGAAAAAGTATGTGAACCCCTTGGGATTACGTGGAGTTTTGCATGAATTGGGCATAAAATGTGCTCTGAACGTCCTCTAAGTCACAACAATAGAAGAACACAGTCTGCTGAACATAATACTACACAAACATTAGATGTTGCCATGGTTTAATTGCACATAACATGTAAACATTCACAGTGCAGGGAGGAAAAAGAATGTGAGGCCCTAGCTTAATGACTTCTCCCAGAGCTAATTGGAGCCAGAAGGGAGCCAACCTTGACTCCAATCAGTGTGATGATATTGGATGTGTTGCTGACAGCTGCCCTGCCCTAAAAAAACACACACCTGTTTTGGGTTTACTGGTTTCAAGAAGCACTGTCTGATGTGAACCATGCCTCACGCAGAAAAGAGCTCTCAGAAGACCTACGATCAAGAATTGTTGACTTGCATGAAGCTGGAAAGGGTTACAAAAGTATCTCCAAAAGCCTTGATGTTCACGTGTCCACGGTAAGACAGACTGTCTACAAATGGAGAAAGTTTAGCACTGTTGCTACTCTCCCTAGTCGTGGTCGTCCTGTAAAAATGACTGCAAGAGCACAGCGCAGAATGCTGCATGAGGTAAAGAAGAATCCCAGAGTGTCCGCTAAAGACCTACAGAAATCTCTGGCACATGCTAACATTTTTGTTGACACATCTACAATAAGGAAAACATTAAACAAGAATGGAGTACATAGGGGGACACCACGGAGGAAGCCATTGCTGTCCAAAAATAATATTGCAGCACGTTTGAAGTTTGCAAAAGAGCACCTGGATGTTCCACAGCACTACTGGCAAAATATACTGTGGACAGATGATACCAAGATTGAGTTGTTTGGGAAGAACACACAACACTATGTGTGGAGAAAAAAAAGGCACAGCACACCAACATCAAAACCTCATCCCCACTGTAAAACATGGCGGAGGGAGCATCATGGTTTGGGGCTGCTTTGCTGCCTTAGGGCCTGGACGGATTGTTGTCATTGATGGGAAAATGAATTCCAGAGTTTATCAAGACATTTTGCAGGAAAACGTACGACCATCTGTCCGCCAACTGAAGCTCCGCAGAGGATGGGTGATGCAACAGGACAATGACCCAAAGCATACAAGTAATTCAACAAAACAATGGCTGCAACAGCACAGAATACGCCTTCTGGAGTGGCCCAGTCAAGAGTCCTGACCTCAACCCGATTGAAATGCTGTGGCAGGACCTTAAGAGAACGATTCACACCAGACATCCCAAGAATATTGCTACACTGAAACAGTTTTGTGAAGAGGAGTGGTCCAAAATTACTCCAGATCGTTGTGCAGGTCTGATCTGCAACTACAGGAAACGTTTGGTTGAGGTTATTGCTGCCAAAGGAGGGTCAACCAGTTATTAAGTCCAAAGGTTCACATACTTTTTCCTCCCTGCACTGTGAATGTTTACATGTTATGTGCAATTAAACCATGGCAACATCTAATGTTTGTGTAGTATTATGTTCAGCAGACTGTGTTCTTTTATTGTTGTGACTTAGATGACGTTCAGAGCACATTTTATGCCCAATTCATGCAAAACTCCACGTAATCACAAGGGGTTCACATACTTTTTCTTGCAACTGTAAGTGTAGAAAGTGAAAGATTGAAAATCTGAAAAAAAAAAATATTTCAGCTCCAGTTAGATTTCTCTGCATTGTTCTATGTTCTGCATGAATTCTGTAGTCCATGTAGTGGCATGTCCTTCGACTTACATGTCAAAAGACCAAATAACCTGGTACAGCTGTATGTAGTTTGAAATAAATGGCTCCATGATATTCAGCTATATTTGTACTATACACCAGCGGTTTTGGATGTCTTTCTGGCTTTCTGACGTGTGAAAGAATGATTTGCATGCCTCTGCCCACTGTCCTAAAATCAGAAATAATCCTCTTATTTTTGGATAAGTGATGGAATGCGATATGTGATCACCTTCTGTTCTAAGAAGGCTTTACTGTGCTACACACTGATTCGGTTGGATGGCTTTTTGATTGCTTTAGTTCCTTCTCACCATAACCTGCATAGTTATATGCTCCATGTGATAGGACCTGAAAACAGGACAAGTATTCAAGGTCAGCATTTCTTTACCTAGCACGTTCTGTGAACTTTTTCACTTTTTATCCAACTATTTTTTCATACAGTATATGATTTATCAGACACTGAATGAATGAAGAATGCAAGGTAGAGAGTTGTCTGGTGTTATTTACGGTATATTGTTCTACAACTCCACATTGCATGCTTACAAACTAGATGTTGTCCAGTTTATCTGGCTGTTTACTTGTGAACATCAAGCAGTCATTAATGCAGTAAAGATGCTCAAGACTTTTCAATTGTAAGAATCATTACCTGAACCTTTGCAGACAGGATTTCTTACTTCATGTGTAAGCAGTGGCCTTTTAATGAAAGTAGTAATAAACCCTCAGCGACGTTTAGCTTAACACATTAGCATAATAAAATAAAATTTCCCTGTAAACTATTTGACAAAAATTCTTTACAGCTTTCAGGATGACAAAAAATATGATCTTGGTACGACATGTTTGCATTGTTGAATGGTAGTCCCATAAACATGCATACTTCTGTATGTTGAGTGTGGGTATTAATGTGCCATGTAGATGTTTCTCATACTAACATTTGTAGCACCCTCCTAGTTTAGCTAGGGGGAGCTAGACTCTGATGGCTAGAGAGGGGCTGATTAGCAGCTCAGGTGAGATAGCCAGAGGGGTCAATTTCTGGTCAGGACTGAGAGAATCTGGAGGCCAGCCCCTCTGGAATTTCCCCCTGCTCTGAGGCTTTCAGAGGAGGGCCTTGGAGGCAGTGGGTGGATCTGAGGAGTGGTTGGCTGCACTTCTGAGGGACCTTAGCCAATCCCCCAAAAAGGCTTGGCAAGGGGCTGGACTCCCTTAAAAGTGTTGGAACCTGCTCAGTAGCAGGAGTGTGGTGGTGGGAGAGGAGTGAGAAGCTGGGAGATGTGAGGCTGGAGGAGGAAGGCTGCTAGGATGCCTGGTGGGATGGGGCCTGGAGCTGGAAAGGCAGAAACCTCAGACCTGGTAGCAGCAGCCATTCCTCAAGTGATACAGGAGAGGATCTGAGTGAGTACACCTGCACCCCCTGGGTGGAGACGGGAAGGAGCTCTGGTGGGAAACCAGATTAGCCCTCTGCTAGTGACTGTGCACCTCATTTAAGGGAACAGGAGCCAGATCCTCTGCTCAGGAAGAAAACCTTCACTGCTGGGTGAAGAGGAGTTCATCTAGTGTCTGAGGTAGTAGTACAACTGGAGCAGCTGTCTATCACTCCAACAGAGGCTGTGTGTCAAAGAGAAGAATCTGTGAGTAGTTCACAAAGTTGTCCTCAGACTTCAGTTCCTTTGGGCATCCTTTACATCCCTAAACCCTATCCAAATTTAATCCCCTCAATAAAACAACAAAACTAATGCTCAAGGTCTAATTTCTGTCTGTGGATGAAGGCTGTGTGGAAAATGCTAATCGGAGGATGAAGGAATTGATACCATTGAATGGCCCCCACGCTCGCTTGACCTAAATCCAATAGAACACCTCTGGGATATCGTGTTTCAGTCCTTCTGATGCCACCAGGTTGCATCTCAGACTGTCCAGGAGCTCAGTGAAGCCCTGGTCCAGATCTGGGAGGAAATACCCCAGAACACCATCCGTCTTCTCATTAGGAGCATGCCCCGACGTTGTCAGGCATGCATACAATCACATGGGGGCAATACAAACTACTGAATACCAGTTTGAGTTGCTGCAATGAAATTTCAGCAAAATGGACTAGCCTGGCTGCATCATTTTTTCACTTTGATTTTCGGGGTGTCTTTGAATTCAGTCCTCTGTAGGTTGATAATTTTAATTTCCATCAAACGATGGGCATCTTTATGTTCCTAACACATTACCAAGTCCATATCGGTATAGATATCCAGCATGATATTTTTCCCCATTGAGATCTGATGTGTTTTCAAAGTGTACCTTTAATTTTTTTGAGAAGTGTAGAGTAATTGGTCAAAATTGTCCTCATGGGTTGAGAGTGTTACATAAAACTACATCATCATTCTATCCAAAGATTAGAAAGATGCCTATCTTAAGGATATGCATGTGTAGCAATACCCCCTTAGGAGCCTCAGGAATACTGTCCAGGTCTTCCTCAAAAGCTTTGCCCCGCAGCCAGGAACATAGGCTCATTCACACGTTTCTTCAATGACCAGTCTGGGGGGGTGTTGTTTTTGTGGTTTTTATTTTTGAAGAACTTGAAATTAGGTGGGATACTCCAAAAACAAGAACTATGTACAGTTGAGGACATAGGGATTCTTTAGAGTATGCTATGACGAAGTCCGTGCTTGAAACAAACCATAGACTTCAGCTTTAAGACAGCAGTAGTTGTAGCAAACTTTAGCAGAGTCTCTTGAAGTGGGAGATTAAATGGATAACGCTTTTCGGCACACCAGCCGGAATCCCCCTTAGCTAGACCCACAGCTGACCTTTTAGAAGCACAAAGTCTCTAAGATCTTTTCAGAGGTGGCTGTACTCACAAGGCCCACAAACAGCTTGTTGTCTTCCTCCACAATAGCAGACCAGCTCTTCAGTAGACCGCCCCTAAGTCAGGTTTGGCAGATCCCAGGTCTCAACATCCTTCGGGTTGCCCACCTGAGGCCTACGGCAGTAGATCCAGCAGCACTGCCTGAGGGGGGGCAGAATACCCTCTCCAGGCTGGAACAATCCTATACAGGAAAGACCCAGTGCTTAGTGTGCTCACTGAATATATACAGTTACTCAGCATGCCATCAGAGCCTCTCTCCCTCTGGGATAGACTGGGGCTGTATCAATATTCATGCTGCCATCTTCATAGCGCCACACTTATTATCCAGAGGCTTCTCAATCTCTCTGGATGAAGAGGAAGCTATCAGCCTGGCTGCAGCTGAACATACTGAGCAGACGTAACTATCAGGACACAGCAACACTGATTACAGTGTGAAAGTGTAGCACCCTCCTAGTAAGCTAGGGGGAGCTATACTCCAATTGTGAGCTAGGGCTGAGTAGCAGCCTGGGTGTGATAGCTAGCATGGTTCAAATTGTGGCTCTGCAAACCAGCCCTCTGGAATCTCCCCCTGCTCTAGAACTTTGGCGAAAGAGATAGAATCAGTTGGCGGATCTGAATAGTGGCTGGTCTGTGCTCTTAGAGGATCCTGGTGAATCCCCAACAGGGGGCTTGGCAAGGGGCCAGGACAGCCTATAAGACTAACTGAGCCTGCTCAGCAGTGGGACAATTGGAGGTGAGCTCAGGTGGAAGATATGGATGTGAAGCTGGAGAGCAGGAGCCTGGGAGTGGGCCCAGATGGGAGAGGGGCTCACCTCCAGGCAGGAGGACCTGGAAAGGTTGAAAGCTTGGAACTTCACCAGCCCCCTGAAAGAAGACTACCTGTGTGGCGGGGAAGGAGCAGCCCAGCTAGAACGCCTGGTAGCAGCCACCGACCCACCAGCAACACAGGAGAAGGACTAAGTGAGTAAGCCTGCACCTCCTGGGCTAGATAGGGAAGGAGGCACTCTAGTGGGAAACTGGTTTACACTGCCACCCAGGACTGTTTCACCATTTTACGTGGCAGACAGTGGATCCCCTGTTCAGGGATTCCTCCAGGCAGCCAGATAGAGGAGTGTCTGGGGTGGTACAACAGGAGACGCTGGCTAGCTCTCCAAAAAAGACTGTTAGCTGTAACCACTTGTTCAAAGTTCAGGAAGTTGTCCTCGGTTTCTCAGTTCCCCTGGGCATCCCGTACACCCCTTACCATGGTTCTAAACCCCCTAATAAAACTTCAAACAAGCTCAAGGACTGGTCACTGACTCCTGAATGCCAATGCAGGTGAAAATGCATGTTGCCTGCACCACAATCAACCATAAGTCATCTCTGGGGTCTGGCAGTATGGTGGTCATTTATTTGGGGATATCAGTTTTTCATTTTTATCCTTAAAACTAAGCTGACAGGACAGAAATGCCACCTCAGACCTGCTTTTGAAATGCTAGTTGCTTGACTATCATGCTGATTTTTCTGGCTTCAATACTTTCTATGTCAATAACCCGGGATAAGTATGCAAATTAGAAAAGTCAGAGAAAAGTCAGGAGTATATGTAGTATATATAAAGGTATGAAGCCTGTTTGTCCGAAGTATTAAAGCAAGTGCATCACCTTCACAAGCAGGCAACTAACAACTAGAAGCCCAGAGTTTGGTGGATGTTCAGGGGACACAGCTACAACCTCCATGCTCCTGCGTTAATCAGAGGATAGTGCAAATTTGTGCACCAGCTTGTCCCAAGGAAGGATGTACTCGTAGGCAGTTGGTGTCTGATGTTGTCATGCCAGTACAAGCAATGCATATAGGGTGGCTTCCCTGTGCCTCAATGTCAGTCAAGGAGATGGTGGGGGGAGAAGCTGCCACCTTGCCTGGGGCCCCATTCTGCCTTAATTGGTCTGTTATTTCAGTAGATGTCTTTATGGCAGGTTTACTTTAAGGCCAACTCCTTTCAAAAATAGTGTTTTAGGGATGGGACTGAATCCCCCACTGGGTTCAAGATTAGAAGACTCCAACAGAGACGTTTCCCTGTTTTAGCCTCTGCCCCCTTCCATAAAGTCATAATGATGGTGTTGTTGGCTTAGGCTTTGATTTTCCAGTTATTTATTTATTCTACACTATGGAGAATCCATAGAGCAACCTTACCATCATTGACCTTGTAAGGTCTTACTCAGCAGTTGGGCGAGCTAGGAATTCTTGTAAAAATACAAAACCATCGGAGTCCCTGAGAGCAGCTGGCACATGACTGACCTTTCCAGCCATTCTACAAAACCAAAACATTAGGTTTAGTCCGTCACACATGGTGAAGTTCAACTGAAGACACATATATACTGTATAAGACAAAACACCCTCTAAACCTGTCATGTATTAGTCCTCATGTACACGGGACATTTTTACAGCGGCTGTTTTTGGCTTTTGATGTTTTTTTCTACAGCCAGTAAACCCTCCCAGCATGTTATCCTATGTGTCCATGCACACATAGACTGTAATCAATGTTTTTTGGCAGGGCCTTTTTTTGTCTGGAAAAAAAAACGCAGAACTAGTGGGTTTCTAGAGGAGTTTTTTAGCTGTAAAAATGCTCTAATGCTAAAAATCGCAGCAAAACACGGTAAAATACCGCAAACTGCCATTTTTGGACGTTATTTTGACCAAAAAAATGCTAAAAACTTCAAACGCGGGAAAGCGCAGCAAAATGCTGCTAAAACGCTAACGCAAAAACACTAAAAAAAAAAGCAGAAGAATTCACGTTTTTAACGTGGCTTTATACAGGTAATGTTACCAGTGTTATCAACACATCCAATGTTCATGGAGCCTTAAAGTGCAGTTCCACCCAGGGGCGTATTTACCAAAAGGCAAACAAGGCATTTGCCTAGGGCGGCATTTTTCGGGGGGGCAGCACCGCCCCCCGGAAGAGGGGACAGAAGAAGGGACACATGCAGCATGGGGACCAGGTGGGATCTGAGAGAGGCTGCAGGATGCTTGATGGTGTATGCAGAGCCCAACTCTCTTCTTCTCAGGGATGTCCGGTGCTGTAAAGGTGTGAGTGTCTTTCTCTCTCTCGCCAGGAAGGGGGAGCTGTATGTTAGTGAAAGGCTCTCTTGAGTGGGGGAGGGGCAGGGGTGGTGTTGGTTAATGTCAGGATCTCTCCACCCGGGGGGGGGGGGTTAATGTTGGTCGGTGTCAGGCTCTCTCTGGGGTAAGGGGGGGGTATGACGTATTAAGACGATTCGCAACATCTCCTGGGACGTCTTTTCCTGTATCCTAGGAGTCCTTTGGGTTCTTAGGGACTGAATATCGCATTACTTCGAAACTCGAAACCAGAAGTGACGCAAGTTTGGCGCCATTTTACCGGAGTCCAGTGTGGGAAGGAAGTGTAAGATCTGTGCTGTTCTAATTATTGTTGCAGGGCTTGCTCCATTTCCAGACCTCACTTGCCTTCCCGCTTGGTGTGATTTGATGGACAGGTTGCCATAAGGGGGCGGGAACTTCCACCATCCCCGCCACTGTTATGTCAACCTCTTCTATACAAGTAGCGCTGAGCAGTGTCAGTACTGTGCAGGCGCGAGATCGAGTGATGCATGCTGGGATAACCAGCAACACCAACTCCAGGAAAAAAAGCCTTGCGGGCTTTAGATGCCCACAGCCATCATGGCGCTTGCCTGCTTCCTAGATCAAGGTAAAGATTTACATATTTAAAATGAATAAAAGGTTATAACTTTATCCAATTGTTAATGTTCTCGAAAAGGCAATCCTGGGTCAACTTTTTAAAAAAAATGTATTCCTGGGACTGGAACTCCGCTTTAAAGTAAAATCCACAAATGCATTCATACATAGAGCAAACATAAGTAACTTGTCTTGATATCGGCTTCCTGTAATTTCGTGCACAGCAGCACTTAGACTGGAAGAGGACAGTCAGCAGTCAAAACCATTTCAGAATAATATTCATGTTACACTGAACATGCTTACAGAAGGGGCATAGGGATGATGTCCCAGTGTGCTGCTGTAGCTGCCCTGTCCAAACACAGACTGGATCATGTCCTATACCAGGATATATTGCTTTGTTGCAGTACAGTCTGCAGGAAAGTCTAGGATCAGGATGTACTGTCTGGCAGGGGTACCTGGATCACAAGCTGCTTGAACATAACTACAAACCCTTAAGCAGGATAAATATTTGGATTTCAATTGTTCATTCAACTATTGCCTGGAGCTCCAAAAGGATGCATGCAGGATGTGATGGCAGATGTCTGTAGGCAGACCCACTATGGTCGTTACTAGGTGCTAAGAAACCAACTACCTTTTTGTTGGATTTTGGACTTTAACCACTTCAATACCGAGCACTTTTACCCCCTTCCTGCCCAGGCCAATATTCAGCTTTCTGCGCTCTCACATTTTGATTGACAATTGCGCGGTCATGCAAAATTGTACCCATATGAAATTTTTATCATTTTTTTTCTCACAAATAGAGCTTTCTTTTTGTGGTATTTAATCGCCGCTGGGCACTTTACTTTTTGCGCTATAAACAAAAATTGCAAAAAATTAGAAAAAAAAAAAAAGTTTCTTTGTTTCTATTATAAAATTTTTCAAACAGGTAATTTTTCTCCTTCACTGATGTGCGCTGATGAGGCAGCACTGATAGGCACTAATAGGAGGCACTGATGGGCACTGATAGGCGGCACTGATAGACGGCACTAATGAGGTGTCACGGATAGCCAGCACTGGTAGGTGGCACTGATAGGTGGCACTGACTGGCGGCACTGCTAGGCATTGACTGGCGCAACTGCTCGGCACTGACTGGCACAACCGCTGGGCACTGAATAGTGGCACTGACTGGCAGCACTGCTGGGCTGCACTGATGGGCACAGGTGGGTGGCACTGGTGGGCACAGGTGGGTGGCACTGGTGGGCACAGGTAGGTGGCACTTCTGGGCACAGGTGTGTGGCACTGCTGGGTGGCACAGGTGGGTGCACTGCTGGACACAGGAGGGTGCACTGCTGGGCACAGGTGGGCAGAACTGGTGGGTGGCACTGCTGGGCACCGATCATCAGGGCACTGATCATCAGTGCCCTGATGATCTGTGCCGATCCCTGCTCTGGCAACTGCCGGTTCTCAGCAGTACTTTCCTCACGATCTGACAGTGTGAGGAAAGTGCAGCTGAGAACCAGCAAGTGCATTTCCCGGTGATCAGCGTGTCATTGGACACGGCTGATCACGTGGTAAAAGGCCGCTGTGATTGGCCTTTTACCACATCACGTGATCAGCTGTGTCCGTTGGACACAGCGATCAAGGAGATCAAGGAGATATGATGACATATGATGCCCTCCCAGAACTGGCCGGCCGCAGTGTAGCCTTCATTCGGCTATCTGTGGTTGGCAAGTAGTTAACCACTTCAATACCAGGCACTTTTACCTCCTTCCTGCCCAGGCCAATTTTCAGTTTTCAGCGCTTACTTTGAATGGCAATTGCATGTTCTTGCAACGCTGTACCCAAAATATTATTATTATACAGTATTTATAAAGCGCCAATAGTTCACTCAGCGCTGTACATTACAAAGGGGGACAGAACATGTGACAGAACAATACCAATACAATGCAAAACATGAGGGGATCGATGGCCCTGCTCTTTGGAGCTTACAATCTAGAAGGGATGGGATAGTGGTACAGGAGGAGATAGCTGTGGGGGATGGAGTGGTAGGAAGAGTGGAGGTGGTCAGCAAGTTAGCAGGGGGTGAGGTAGGCTTCCCTGAAGAGATGGGTTTTCAGGGTGCGCCTAAAGGAGAGGAGAGTAGGTGATAATCTGATGGGTTGGGGAAGGGAGTTTCAGAGGATGGGTGACACCCTGGAGAAGTCCTGGAGGCGGGCATGGGAGGAGGAGACAAGGGAACTAGAGAGAAGGAGGTCTTGTGAGGAGCGGAGTGTGCGTGCTGGGCGGTACTTGGATATTAGGTCAGTGATGTAGTTCGGGGCAGTATGGTGGACAGCTTTGTACGTCAGTGTTAGGATTTTAAATTTGATCCGTTGCGCAATCGGAAGCCAGTGGAGGGATTGGCAGAGGGGGGGGGTGGCGGAAATGGAGCGGTTGGAAAGGTGAATGAGTCTGGCAGCCGTATTCAGGATCGACTGAAGCGGGGATAGCCAGCGGTGAGGCAGGCCAGTGAGGAGGGAGTTGCAGTAGTCGAGTCGTGATATGATGAGGGAGTGGATGAGCTGTTTAGTGGTTTCTGGGGTTAGGAACGTGCGGATTTTGGCGATGTTGCGGAGTTGGAGTCTGCACGAGTTTGTTAAAGATTGGACTTGGGGCTGGAAGGATAGGTTGGAGTCCAGAATGACACCAAGTACTCTGGCCTGCAGAGCGGGTTTGATATTGGCGTTGTTGGATGTGATGTAGAAGTCAATGGGGGGTGGGGTTCGGGCTGGGGGGAAGACAAGGAGCTCGGTTTTGGAGAGATTCAGTTTAAGGAAGTGGAGCGACATCCAATCTGATATGTCGCTCAGTAAGTGTGTAATTTGGGCAGAGACCGAGGGGGTGAGGTGGGGGGTTGAGAGATAGATTTGTGTGTCGTCGGCATAGAGGTGGTAGTTGAAGCCGTGAGAGTGTATGAGTTGGCCAAGGGAGGAGGTGTAGATGGAGAAGAGAAGGGGCCCAAGGACAGAGCCTTGAGGGACCCCAACAGAGAGGGGGAGTGAGGGGGAGGTGGTAGCATTATAGGTAACGCTGAAAAAATACATTTTTAATATTTTGTTCACACAACTAGAGCTTTCTTTTGGTGGTATTTAATCACCAAATGCACCAGCTGTATAACAGAAAAATTAAAGGAAAAGCCTTTCCCAAGTAGAGTAACAGCAGAGCTAAAAAAAACTTCTGAACTTAATTCATTCAGATCTTTGAGGTCCAATGAAAAAATTGACTCCAGGAAAGAAGAGGTATTTTCTCACTTTTATAGATGATTACTCCAGGTATACTACACTGTCTGTTATACAACAAAAGTGAAGTACCAGAGAAACTTGAACAGTGTTTGGCTCAAGTAAGCAACAAATGTGGCAAAATGCCAAGTGTAATGCACACAGACCATGGCACAGAATATACAGGTGATAGCACACAGGCCATTCTCAGAAAGCATGGCATAATATTTCAAAATACTGTACCATACAACCCAGAGCAAAACAGGGTTTCAGAAAGCATGAACTGTACTATGTGTGAGAGTGGAAGAACCATGTTACATAGTTAGTCTGGCTAAAAAAAGCCAAAAGTCCATCCAGTTAAAAAAAAAAAGTTATAATTATACACCCACAGTTGATCCAGAGGAAGGCAAAAAAAACCAGCAAAGCATGATCCAATTTGCTCCTGCAGTGGAAAAAAAATTCCCTCCTGATCCCCCGAGAAGCAATCGGATATTCCCTGGATCAACTTTACCTATAAATGTTAGTATCCAGTTATATTCTGTGTATCTAAGAAAGAATCCAGGACTTTTTTAAAGCAATCCACTTAGCTGGCCAGAACCAACTCTTGAGGGAGTCTATTCCACATTTTCACAGCTCTCACTGTGAAGAAACCTTTCCGTGTTTGGAGATTACATTTCTTTTCCTCCAGACGTAAAGAGTGCCCCCTTGTCCTCTGTGATGTTTAAGTCTTCTATACCAACCACATTCTGGGGGGAGGCAATTATGACCTCATGCTATCTCCAAAATCGCCTACAAAGAAAATCAGCTGAGAAAACTCCATGTGAACTGTGGAATGGAAATTTGAACCATCTAAAAATTTTTGGAAGCAAAGCCTATGTGCACATCCCAAAAGAAAAACATACAAAATGGGATGCTCGTATAAAGGAAGGTGCATTTGTGGGGTACACTGAATCTCAAAAGGGATACAGAATTCTACACCAAGACACAAACAAGGTAACTTGTATAATTGTCGATGACACTTCAGTGTGTTCAATATTTTATGAACTAACACAAATGCTTCAAACTGAGGGAAATTCCACATCAGTGGATAAGCAACAAAGTGACAAATAAATAGAAATTAATGTAGACAATCCAAATACTGTAAAAAAAAGAAACCAGGCCACAAGAGGCTTCAATCAGGAATCCACCAGAAGCAATAAAGGCATCCCAGCCTACAATCTTATCTGAGGATAATAAAGGATGTATCAACATGGCACCA